ATTTCTGTGGAAAACAAATAGTCTTAGATATTTTCTCTGTGGTTCCTACCTCTGTGACTTTTTTTATTAAGGCAAGGAGATAGGAAAGTTGGCAGAGAAATGTGTACAGCTTTTTTGAGATACTCACTCATGGCTATAAATAAAAAGGTAAAGGCAGAGATATCCAAACCTGCCACATGATAAAGGTTTTATACAATGATTTACACTTTTTAATGGTACTTTCACATAATTGTAAAGGTGTAACCTAGAGAAAGAATGTTTGCAGAAATAATTTTATCCTGAGATAGTGGCTTTTATTGCTGATTGTATTATAAAACTTTCCATGATGAGTTGTACTGAAGTCTAATTCCTACTCCAGACTAACCCAAACACAATCGCTGGGGATAAAGCACCAATCCTTCCTTAAAAAGCTCCACAGATGATTCTAATAAGACACCTCAGTTAAGAGCCACGGCATTTGAAGGGAGGACAAAGAAACAAGTCAGTCCAAGACTAATGATATGGCAATCGGCTGCTAAAATATTCGCTGCTAGAATTAGTGGAGAGGAATAGTGCACCTGTGTTTAAGGCAGGAAAGGGAAATGAATGCAACACGATTATAATAATCAGTCATTAGCGAACACTGTAGTTCATTATTAATAATTATGTATAACAGGATAGTATAAAAATTAAGTTACGAAATTCTTATTAAAACGTCTCTTACATGCCGTTATATTGGCTGGCTGAAAAAATATTGTGGGCCACGTGCAGCCCATGGGCGGCGAGTTTGACATGCTTGCTTTAGAGAATACGTCACAGAGAAAAAGAAGCAACTTCATAAGAAGTGCTAAAAATGTGGGAATAATACCAATTACATTAAGTGAACAAAAATCAACAATTATAATTCTAATTGTAACTTTAACCAGTTAGCCACATTAAGAAATAAAAGTGCTCCCAGACCTAGGCAGTCTGGCTCAGTGGATAGAGCATCGGTCCATGGACTGAAGGGTCCCAGGTTGGATTCTGGTCAAGAGCACGTTTGTCAATTGCAGGCTTAATCTCCAGCCCTGGTTGGGGTGAGTGGGAGAGGCAACGGATGGATCCAATGCATGTGCCTCTCTCAAATCAATGTTTCTCTCTGTCTCTCCCCCTCTCCTCTCTCTCTAAAAAAAAAAGACAGAGAGAGAGAGAGAGAGAGAGAGAAAGAGAGAGAGAGAGAGAGAGAGAGAGAGAGAAATCAATGGAAAAATATAGTCAGGTGAAGATTAAAAACAAAAAAAAAGTGCTCCCAAGCTAGTAGGATGAAGAGAGGGGAAAGGAGGAACATACCATTTTCACTTTTTAAAAAGTATTTAGGAAAAAGAGATATTTACTCTCATACACCTATTTTCATACCTAAAAATGATGTGGAGCCGAAACCGGTTTGGCTCAGTGGATAGAACGTCGGTCTGGGGACTGAAAGGTCCCGGGTTCGATTCCGGGCAAGGGCATATATGTTGGTTGTGGGCACATCCCCAGTTGTGTGCAAGATGCAGCTAATCGATGATCCTCTCTCATTGATGTTTCTAACTCTCTACCCCTCTCTCTTCCTCTCTGTAAAAAATCAATAAAATATACTTTAAAAAATAAAATAAAAATGATGTGGAAATCCCAAATATCGTTTGAGGTAAGATCTGCAGTAATTCTAGGCATCACTGAGAATATTACAGTAGAGGGTAAGAAGCAATCATGCTAGATGGCACAGGAAGATCAGTTACGCTCTAGAAACCTTAACGGAACAGGGAAACGTTAGTTTGGGGCCTCCCACCTGTTGGCAGACACAGCCAGCTTATATCACATCTCTAACACCCGTCTAACCAACATGTGGGAGGCCTGGTAAAGCCACAGCACCAGGCAAACAAAAATGCTAACACCAGTCTGTGCATAGTGGATCTTGAAGAAAAAAAAAAAATCAGAACCCTGTGAAGAAAAGGAAAAGATTCTTCTTATCCACTCTAAAAAAATAAAATGAAGACTTCGTTTCTGAAAGAAAAAATAAGGTACTGAAAGGACAGGAGAAAGCTGGAAAATAAGAGTGCTAGTAAAGATCTAGAGGAAAGTACAAACAAAAATGATAACTTCTGAATATAGAATGTTCCACAAACACATTATCCACAAGGGCTAATGAAACCCTTTGCTCAAAGTGTCTAGAGTTTTTCAGAAGAAACAAAAAGTCATTGTATATTGATTTGTAACCAGGAAAGAAATAATTAAGAAAAATTACAAAAAAAAAAAAGCTAATAACACAACACTTTTTCTAAAGATCAGATTAAAAAAACAATTCCTGCTAGCAAAGGGAAAGAAGTATTAATAAATTCAATCAATAACCCTGAAACCGATGTCTGCTTCAAACACTTTATTTCCTCTTCCTCCACTCTCCGGAAGCAAGTTCAAATAGTTATCTTTCCTATCCTGAAGGGAATGATCCTGTTCAAATTATCAATAGCTACTATTATTATAAGGAGTGTCACTGCAAGGCCTGTGCTGAGTGCTCTATGTACATTATCTCATTTAATCCTTACCGTGACTATCTGTGTTCCTTTTCTCTCCATTTTACAGAAGAGGAAAAACCTCGATTTAGGACACACAACTAGCAAATGTTATAAAACGGGGTGCAAAAGTTAGATCTGACTCCATAGTCTGTGCTCGTAACTATGAACCGAAGCAGCATTTTTCTTGATATTCTTTTATCAAAAGACTGAAGTTTGCAACTTGGAATAAATAAGCAGAAAGGGAGCACAGGAAGTGGTGTAGAAGTACTTTATAATTTATCAAGATAAGAGCACCTGCATTGCGTTTTTTGATGAGAGGGGAAAAAAAGTCTGCAATCATATAAAACCCCAACTCTTTTCTGGCCCTGCTATTACTAAAACGGGCCGGTTTTTCTTTAACAAGATTGTCAAGCAGCACCTACAGACCACTGCAAATAAAACACTCCGGTTCAGTGGTGGGGAAGGCATTATGCAAGACTTCCCAGCACAGCCTTCACCAGGATATTTTACGGCCAAGGCACTCGGGCCCCTCCTCCCCAGAGCTAGACAGCCTGGCTCCTTCATATTCCCCTCAGGAGATAGGGTGGAAGCGCACAGCTCCACTTTCGAAGGCACAGAGGGCAGCTGAAAGTCCTGCTCAGCTTCTCTGGGCAACCACAGGCGCCAATAAATCAGCCACAGGCGATTTCTCTCATCCCCTTCCTGGCTTGAAGTGGCTGTGAGATATAGTCTGTGCAAAAGAGCACAGACTAGACTTGGGAGATAAGTGATCTAGGCTTGAATTCTGCTGCAAATGGCTGTATCATTGAAGCCAAGTAAATCCCTGAGCCTACTTCCTGGTTTGTTTAAAAAAAAGAAAAAGAAAAAGAAAAAAAAAGGAAATAATACTACCTCCTTTTGGTTAAGTATAAGAAATTCACGCAGGTACTTAATAAAAAGCAACCAAACCTGAGCAGAATCCATCTTCACTACCTCCAAACAAGACATTCAGGGTAGGGCTGGGCAAAAAGGTGTAGCAAGCCTTGTGAGGTCCCTCCCTCCTTTTTCGCCGACCATGACTGTGATGTTTCACTGCTTCCTAATGACCTTCCAGCCACCAGTACTCATCTATTCCACGTCCCACCCATCATTGTTTGGTTCCCTATGAAAGAGCTGATGTCTGATAATGGATTAACAGTTTATTCTTAATTAAAACATAACAGATAGCCGAACTGGACTTCGATGCCTTAACCTTATGGTAGCAAACAATGCTGCAAATGTTGGTTATTCTTGCAGAGAACAGGGCTGAATGGGGGGTGGAGAGGGGGAAGCTTTGAGCTTCAAAGTACATTATAGCCATTCTATTTCACCTGGAAATAGTGCCAACCCCATTTCTTAAAATACCAAACCCATCACACAATGACCAAATCTGATTTCTCAAGACTCTGGATCAAGCCCAGTATAATCACCTCTGACAAGACAGTCTCTATACTGAGCGGATTAAACTGGCACTGCACTCCTGGTGTGGTAGAGAGAGAACAATGACCAAGGTGTCCGGAGCCCTTGAGTCCACTTATACAAAAGGTGCGGGGCCTCAATCAAGCTGCACGCTTGCTCTTTAGGCCGGGTGTCCTCACCTGTAAAATAAGAGGGGTGAACTGGACTTTCCATTAACGCCCGTCAGCTTTAAAAATCTGTTGATTACAAAGTGTGCTTTACACACTTGGCAAAATCCTGTAAGCATGAACAGCTTTACCCAAAAGACCTGATTCTCAAGAGAATGCATGCCCAGTGTAATCCCTTGGGGGGGAGGGGGGGGGACGGGACTAGGCGTTAATTTAGGAAACAAGTTAGCTGCTGTCAAGTTCCAGGTCCAGTTCAGGGGCTGCTTGAGCAGCTTGTTTTCTCCCAATGAGCGCTCGCTAGGGAAGGAAAGTGATACATGAGGGCAAGCTTTAAAAAAAAACGCCACCACAAACAAACCTGGGTGTGTTTAGAATGAGATCAATATAAAATGAAAAAAAAAGAAAGACATGAATCTTGAGTCGGGAGGGATACTTCCTGCTCTAGAAACATAGTAATCACAAAGGAGGCGGGGGAGAGGGGAGGCAGTGGCCTCGCGCAGGCTGCCCCTGGACACCCGCCCGCTCGCGGGAGAGGTCGGGCTGTCCGCGCGGAGTGGCGGCCGGGTGTGCGGCGGGCGTCCTCGCGCGCCCCCCGCCTGCGCCGGGCCCCGACCACGGCCTCGTGCGGGCAGCGAGGGCGGCGGGGGTGGCTCGGGCATCCTCGGCCCAGCGCTCACTCCGCGGTTGCCATTTTTCCTCGTTTTGCCCTGATTGACATGTCAAACGGACCGAAAACACCCCCTCTCCCCTCAGCTACTTGCATCTGTTCCGCGACCGGCGCAGCTGCAGGCCGCCGCCGCCGCCGCCACCGCCCCGGGCGGCACGCGGGCGGGAGGGACCGAGCCTGGGGCAGCCCACAGGGGCCGGGCCGGGCCGCGCCGCTTACCCAGACGCCGCCGCGGCGGCCAGCCGGCTCCTCCATGCGGGAGGGGCAGCTCCCGCGCCGCAAAACGTCACGCGGCGGCGCCGGCTCACGCACCCCTGGGGCCGTTCTCGCGCGGCTTCCCGCGCCGGCCGCCCCGTGACGGACCCACGTGACTGCGTGCCGGGTAGCCGCGAACGAGGGGCGCCGGGGCCGGAGTGTGCGTGCGTGCTTACGTGCCAGCTCGCCCGCCCGCCCGCTCGCTTCAGTGGCCAAGCCGGGGGTCGGCGGCGCTCGGCGCCTTCGCCGCCGCAGTCCCCCAGTCGTGACTCTGTAGGCGGAAGCGCGGAGGCGAGCCTGAGCGTTACAGGCTTCCCACGCAACCGGGTGGCCCGGGGACTTTCCACCGGGGTGTGCAAAATCATGGGCACCCCTTCCGTTCGGGACTGGGACTGGGGGGAGACCTGCCCGCGTGTCCAAGGGGAGCGTGATGAGGGCGCGGGGCCAGAGGCGCTGAGCCGCGGGAGCCTGGGAGGAGAGGGCGCGGGCTGGGCGGGGTGGGGCATGGCGGGGGAAGTGACTCCCAGCCAGAGGCCGACGGGGTGAGGGGAGCGTGAGGAGCGGGCGATCCCGGACGGACTGGGCGATGGTGCCGGGACGCCCGCCCGGGAAGTGCGGGGAGGGAGGGCCCGGCTGCCGGTCCTCCCGGGAAGGGGTCTGACTTCGGACGGGAGTGGGAGAGCAGCATCCAGCCCTCGGGGGAAGCCGGGTGGAGCCCGGTCCCATCCAGCTGTGCAGACGGGAGGAGGAGGAGGAGGTCCCACGCCTCCCCCGGGGGAGAGGGGCAGGAGGGGCGGCCAGCGAGCTGCGGCCGCGCCGGCCCCCGCGGTGCGGGTTGCGCCAGCCTCCTCAGAGCCGCCCGACGCAGAAACTTGTTGCAACAAACAGGCGACCGCGGGTGCCCCTAGCAGCCAGCGGCGGGCGGGTGGGCGGGCGGGAGGGAGGGGAAGGCTGGCTGGCGGACGCCGCCGCAGCGAGCTGGTGGGCAGACCCGGAGTCGCCGCGTAAGCGGGGCCGGCTCAGTGCGGTGCGGCGGGCGCGGCTGTGCGGCAGCGGAAGTCCTTTGTTGCAGCACAGTCCCCGGCGGAGCCAGAACCTCGCCGCGCCGCCCAGCCCGAGCGCCGCCCGCGCCGCCACTGCAGCTCGCGGCCCCTTCGCCTCCGCCCGCCTTCCGCGCGGCTTCGTTTGCCTTAAACTCCCTAAAACCTCCGCACCCCCGGTGCCCGCCGCGGCCGGTGAGTATCTGCCAGTGGTGGGACAATTTGCGCAACTTTGGCCCGCGCCTCAGGGCGGCGGGGCGGCGGGGCCTGGCGGAGTGCGGGGCCGGACGGCGCCGGGAGGACCCGCGCGGGGAGCCCGCCAGAGCGCGGCCGGACGCGCCGTGAGGACCCGGCGACGGGCGGCTGCCGGGCCGCCTCCCGGTCCCGCCGCCCACCGGGTCCGGGGCGTGAGGCCTCCCGGGGTCGGAGCAGGAGCCCCATTGGAGACGAGTTCCCGCATCTGTTGCCTTCTTTTCCCTTTCTTTCTCGGCCTTTATTTTATTTTTTGAGGGGGGGGGGGGGGAGGGAGGGGAGGTGTAGACGGAAGGCGGGCGGACGGGGCTGATTGACGTGCCCGGAGCCCGCTTCGCTCCCCGCCGCGGCGGCTCCCCGACGGGTGGGAGGGGAAGCGTCCCGGAGCCGAGGCCGCAGACTTGGGCGCGCTCCGAGGAGGAGGCGGAAAGCCGCGCGAATTCTTGCCACGCTCTTTCCCACCCCCTCTCGCCGGCACACAAGCTTTTTTTTGTTCGGCAGAAAGTGTGAGGGCTCGGGTTTGGGAGTTTTCGGTGGAAAAGACCTCTTTCCCGGGAAAAGCGCTGTTTGGAAGTTGTGTTAGTGTTGGGCGAGTGTGCTGGACGTAGATGGGGAGTCGTTGCCGCTGAAATACGTGGGCTTGGAGCTGAGTTCAGCCACCTCCCACTCTCCCAATTCTATCTAACCACGCATCTGTCTACATGTGATCCGAAAGGTTGACATGACATTTCCCAGGCTGGGAGCGGCAGGGAGATGTTGGTGAAAGTCCTCGTGTTTCCTGGCGGCAGGAGGAGATTGGTACGTGTGTAATAATAATGTTCCTCAGTCGGCGTGGTCGGTACCTGCAGAGTCTCCCCTGGCCTGCGTGTGTTTCCACTTACAGTGTGTATCTCGGCGGGAGAACTATTCCAGGAACAGTTTTCCCTTTGCCACTCAAACCCCAACGGATTGGTCCAGGTGTTTTGAGGAGAGACGTAGAATCAGCTTCTTGCGCTGAAGTTTCAAGCTGTTTGGAGCAGATTTGGAGAAGGATGCAGTTCTTAAGATAATTTCAAAGCAATCACTGCCTTCTCATTTGAAACAAGTGTATTTAGATTCTGTGGAGCGTTGTCATTGCAAATGGATAGGATGGGGAGAATTGGGACACAAAATGATGAAGCTTGACTGAGGACTGGCCAGCCGCACCTCAAAACTTTCCCCCAGATCACTTGCTGGATATCTGATAAAGTCTCAATAATAACTGAATGGCTTTGGGAGCCAGTTGGGAGCTTCATCGTCTTAGAGATTGAAATGAAAGCGTAGTGGCAGTGAAATTCTCCAAAGATTAATAAAGGTAGTTTGCAGTAGAGCCTTCAGATAACATATTTATTTTAAAAGCATATTTGTGTATTATGACCAAATTTTCATCTCACAGAATAACTCAGGTTGCGCAGTCTCTCCTGTAGCCTTTCTATTCTTCCCACTCTTATGTGGTGGCCTACTTTGCGGTGGGGGCTAGGGCATCATTGTCAGAGAAAACAGGAACAATGTTTAACCTGGACCTACCTTTCCAGGGCATGAACAGTCTCAGCTACTTGATCTGGATGGACCTTGCGTTTTGATTTTGCTTTAATACCACTATATTTTTGTGCTTAGCACCATTTCCCATTAGGAGTGCCTGCTTTCAGGTCTCTCCTCCATCCAGGAAAAGTGCTCAGCCTTTGCTATTAACCTTCTGGCTCAAATGGGGAGGAAACCATTTGGGATAAAATGCAGAAAGTGTTCCATAGATTTTTATTTTTGAGCTACAATCTGTTGTCTTCCCCAAAACTCGAGGTATAGTTGAAAAACATTTGCTTGAGAGGTCACTTTGATCTCTATAGGATGTTTTCTCCTGATATTTTCTTCTTGTGCTAATATTTCTTACCATAAAATATTGAAATTATTTATTCTCATACTCTAAAAAAATGTAAATCCACACTCAACATGCTTTTATTGATTTTAGAGAGGAGAGAGACACACACACACACACACATCCGGTGTGAGAGTGTACTGGATGACACTGCAACCAACTGAGCCACTCTGGCCAGGTCTATTCTAATATTCTGATATGAACCAAATCAAAAGTGATTCACGTCCCTTTTTTCCTCTCAAAACGGAAGTGCTTTGCCTCGCTGGTGTGGCTCAGTTGTTCAGCATCGATCTATGAATCAGGAGATCACGGTTCGATTCCCAGTTAGGGCACGTGCCCAGATTGTGGGCTCGATCGATGTAAGAGACGGCCAAACAACTCTCCCATCATTGATGTTTCCATCTCTCTCTTTTCCCTCTCTGAAAGTAATACAAAAATTTTTAATTAAAAAATGGAAATACTTTATTATAAAATTCATGCTCTTTGTGAAAATTCAGTCTACACTGAAGTTCATAAAATACAAAAATAAAAGTCATTCTGACTCCCACCTCCCAGACATAATGATTGTTAATAGTCAATTCCTTGTTTAAAACGAGAGAAAACAAGATTTGATCATAACTGTGCTGCTGTGTATGCCTCATCCTGCTTAGGGATGGCCTGTCAGATGATTCATGGGCTCATGTTTTCTGTTCACTACTCAGATTGGTGAGCATTGACCAGGTAGAGGAAAAGGAAATGTTTTGCATTGGGCTGATTTGAAATTCTGTAATTAAGTAACAAGCATGAGAGTTTAAATATAGATAACAGGGCTGCTATTTTAGGTCTGTCCGTATGAAGTACTTGTTGTACCTTGGTGGGCTAGTGTTAGTTCTCACACTTTAATATTAGTGTTGATGTCCAGCCTCTCATTGATTTATTACTAGCCAAACTCATTAAAACAAAACCAAACCCTCACATTGTAGGGAATGTCATAATTTATAAGTTGGGAAGGAGTGGGTATACTTGCCATGAAGACTATCGCCAAGATATCCTGTGCCGCTGGGGGATGAGGGTTTCCTCTATTCAGAAGTAGCATGCCAAACATGAAGGAAAGGAAATTAGAGGAACGAAGGGGATTAATGACAGTGGTTTCAGATATGGCATGGAAGGAGATGGTACATATTTAAGATAGTTTTTTAACTATATATTGTGGCTTGTATGGTAACAACAAGTGGTCTTAATGCAAGTACAGAGTCACATGTTACTTAGCCTGATATATTTATGAAGAATGAGCTGTGACACAGTTGATGATGTTCAAAAAACAAAATAGTGCATACACATTCAATCACAACATTGGTTATTGAAGTGTGTTGGAGACATGCATTTTTTTTTTTTTTTTATACTACTCTGCTTTGAGTTTAAAATAATTTCCAAAAACAAAATTGGGAAATTAAAGAGAATTAAATCACCAACCAAAATTTCTATTCATTGTCAAAGATATATGTAATCCTTTTTAGAGAAAACCAAAGAGCTCCATTCCCACTTTAATTCTTTAGTATTACAGAAGGGCTTGCCCTGGTAAGCGGTGGGAGTCAGCAGATGGGAGAGGAGGTGGGGAAGGGGCAGGACATTCTAATTGCCATATGGGGCACTATGAGAATGGGGTTACTGCATGACTTAGAATGTTTATTCCAAAGGGACACGAGTTCATTGTCATTGCCAGTGTTGTCTGGTTTATAAAAACTGAAACTTAGGGCTATGATTAAAAAAAGAGTTTGAGCCGCATCTTATAATTATGAGCATTTGATATCAGCCACTAAACCTGTTCCCTATTTACAAAATGAAGTTAATGAAAATACCCACCTCAGCGTTGTTGTGAGAATCAGTAGTATAATGCATGGGAAATTGCTTTGTAAGTTTTGGGCCACTGTAAAAAGGTAGGGCAAAGGTAGGTTTATAGTTGTTGGTATGGGAGAATAATACAATACAATAATCAATATATATAAAAGCCAAGCAACCAGAACAACAGAATGACCCGTTGCTATGACACTCACTTTGGCAGCCAACCGGCCCAATCGGAGCCCAAATCAGCCACCCTAAACTCCCATGTGTGTCCCCCTCCCCCTGGCCTGGCTCCCATGCACCGGGCCGCTAGTAAATAATAAGTAAACTTTTGCCAAAAACAGTTTCGCTCAGTGGATAGAGCGTCGGTCTGCGGACTGAAAGGTCCCAGGTTCGATTCCAGTCAAGGGCATGTACATTGGTTGCAGGCGGATCCCCAGTGGGGGGTGTGCAGGAGGCAGCTGGTCAATGTTTCTCATCGATGTTTCTAGCTCTCTATCCCTCTCCTTTCCTCTCTGTGGAAAATTAATAAAAAATATATATATTAAAAAACTGTTTTAAAAAATAAGTAAACTTTCACAAACTCAACTGTAAACCTACTTTGCCTCACCCTTTATATAAAAGTTGCCATGATTGAAACAGTGCAAAAAAAAAAAAAAAAAGATAAGCAAAATGAAATTTACCAAATATCAAGGCTCAGGGAGGGATACAGTGATGACTAAAACAGTGCCCTGATCTCAAGGAGCTTGCAGCAAAGCAGGGGAGCCACATAATTATAATGTCAGTGTGGTGATGGATATAGTATCCCAGTTTGAATGATATAAGATTTGTCTCCCTATAGTTGTAGGTACAGGCTGTTTTAGAAGCACAGAAGAGAGGTGTCTGAGAATAAGCTAGACATAGGAAAAGGTCTAAGCAAAGGGAATAGCATATACGAAAGTATGAAGGCTTTTACTATGTTAGGTGCTGTAAGGATGAGGGGGGATCTTAAATCTCAAATATATTTAAGGATTAAAAATGGAGTTAAGCTTCTTAGAATGAACACACTTTTTATGATACTCTATTGGTTTCATTTCATTGACTTTTTAAAATAGGCATTTTTGTTGATTTTTAGGAACAGAGAAATGTGGGTGTGAGGGCGGAAAATCTATCAGCTGCCTCCTGCACATTCCCTACTGGGCGTGTGCTCTGACCGGAAATCGAGCTGGTAACCTTTTGCATGGGACTATGC